GGTTATTACAGGAAACAATTTGGCATGTTATTTTTGCTGTGATGTTACCGCACCAGGAGACGTAAGTTAATTTGTCAAGGGAGGATGGATTCTATTTTGCATCAGCTTTCATTTGGTGATAGCAGTAATAATCTGAGGGCCGTATCGTCAGTCGTTCCTCGCCTTGGCCTCCTTCATTTTCGTAGTCTTTTTTTCCTTCAAAAAGGCTGAGGTATTTCTATTGTTCAGTGTCAGCGTCAGCGCTCTTCAAGTTATGTTTTCGTTTTGGTTCGTAGGAAATTTCAGACTGATAAAGCAGATGATACAAATCGAAAGCAGGTACAATTTGATGCAATCAGATATTTCTAACATAACCTCAAAATAGAGCGCCTTTTTGAAAGACAGGTGAAACTATGAAAATCAAGGAGGCCATAAAGGCGTCCTACAATTGTAGAAACGACTGACGATACGGCCCTAACAGGATTGATATGAAAATGGAAAAGATGTCAGATGGGCTACCTGTTATATCCAAGGTTGTGTGACGTCAAATATTGTGTTTTAAATAACAGTGAGCTGCTTACTGGTGACGTACTGTAAAATCCGTACGCTGAATAAATAAAAAAATAAAACTTACAGCAACTAACCAAATGTAACCTGCCAATCCTACCTAGAGGGTAATTTTAATGTCGAGTTCATAAATCCACTTAACCTAAGGATGTCACCATTTTCCATATGGTGCCAGGAGGTTCCGTTAAGTTAGGTTTAGTTAAGCTATATTAAGCTCGGTAACATTATTAGATACATACATATATAAATATACTTTATTGTTTTAAAAATACAATAATTATTGGCAAAGCTAGCTTAAAACTAAACTGTAACATAATTACATATGTGGATCTCAAGTAAATGAATTGTAGAACTCAGACGTGGTATAATATAGCTTGCATTTTAGCAAGTTCACGGCGGAATATCTTTGAATGGTTGATTCTTTTGATAGCATCATAGCCTATGTAAATTTTCATACCATTATAAATTATTGAGTCTTTCACAAGTGTTGACTGAAATACTACTAATTCAAGATCTTGTTTCCGTCTAATATCGTAACTAATAATGTTTCAAACTCAGATTCATTTCTAAAAGTGTAATAGCTCTAGGATGCTTTGTGTTATTATTTAATATTTTTGTAGAATAAGCACTTTTTTAAACAATTTTGGGAACAGATACACCAAAAAGGAATGCCAAGATATCTCAATCTACTTCCAAATAAGGCTGTGCTTTGCTCTGCATTGTAACTAATTGTTCTTATAATAACAGAAATCTTCGCTAGTTGAGTTAGACATTGATGTACATGATTAGCAAAATCTAATTTATTGTCAATGGTCAAGACTTAAAAATTTGATGGTGTCTGTTTTGCATTATTTAAATTGATAAAATCAAGGAACTATCTATTTTTGTCTTATTCGCTTCGAAAATCAAGTGATTGGTATCACTCCATTTTTTGATTGATATTACTGATATAAATATCTGCAATAAATAAAATTGTCTATTTTAGTCGCTCAAAGGCAGAACTCTTGATCAGCAATGCACAGTTACAAGACCAGGAGTTTCACAAATAGCTGGGGCACTAGCTGTTGAGTTGCTAATATCCGTGCTTCAGCATAAGCATGGGTAAGTTTTGATTGATATTATTATTGAGTACTACCATGGATTAACATATTTTACTTAAATATAGCCAAGACAGCAGCGGAGAATTATTCTTGGCTATGGATGTGGTGATTGTCCGTAGGCGGTAGACGGTTTCTGGCTGTTGTACGCGGAGGTACCACCCGGTGGATCTCGTAGGCGGTTCCAGAATGCACACATGTTCCCTCGCTATAGTCCGGTGGCGTCCCCCCTTTCCGCTGTATCCCCCTATAGCCCCACGGTACCCCATGGGTGTTTAGGCCTTAGGCGTTCGCGGTAGTTGAAGTATTAAAAACATAACAGATATCTTCAGGTGGAGTGCGTTATACAATGTCAATTGGAATAGATCACAAAGACTAGAGATAGGGAGATAAACTGTATAGGGGATACATGTATTCCTATGAAGCCAATCCTGTCGCCAAGGATGGTGTGGCTCTCACAAATCTAGTGAATGTAGAACATGGCGCAGAGAGTCTGAGCATTGAAAAATATCAACATAACCTGCCGTAACCTTTATGTGCATTTCACTCATTTGCCATGCTTGGTAGGTTTACTACTTCATGGTTTATTAATATTATCTGATATTTCTGCTTGCAACTCGTCCAAATTGTCAAAATTGGAGTTTTTTACAGTCATGATGCCAGCATCAGAGAGAGATGCCACGTGCGCAGCACCTGAAACTCATTTGATGCGCAGCGTACCAACTTACTTCATTGTCGACATTTTTTGCTTCACCCCCACTCCACGAGTTTGATCTCCTACCTATAGTCTTCATGAAATATATATTAGAGAGGCGTCAACGAGGGATTAAAGACCCTAGCTCCATCTATGAGACATTAGCAAAACCAAACAGTCGAACTCTTTTCAAAGTAGATTTCTAAATAAATGTTTGTGTTCTGATAATGTCTTATAGAGGGCGCTAGGATCTTACAGGTCCATTTTTAAGCACGAGAATATAGAATATGCATAGCTATATACACGTAGAGTATGTTAATCAATGGGTTTTTCCTTCAGTTGGAATACTTTTTAGGTAGAAAACATTTTGTATTATCCTCAATAACAGATTGTGTGAGTTATAATAACTGATATTTTTACTTGTTACAGAGTTCTTGCTCCAGCATACTACAGCACTGCACAGACTGTGCCCATGCAAGAAATGACAGCTAGTGGAGATTCAGTTTTAGGATTAGTACCACATTCTATTAGGGGGTTTCTGTCATCATTTGAACAGATTTTACCAGCTACAGAGAAGTACAAAAATTGCGTGGCTTGTTCAGACCTAGTTATCAACGAGTACAAAGAAAAGCAAATGGAATTTTTACTCAACGTTTTTAATAGTTCTAAGCACTTGGAGGATGTTGCATTGCTGACAGAAATGTTTAAGGACACTGATTTTGAAGAGGTAAGTTATTCTCAATTTTTTTTGTGTATGTATGTATGCAATGTCACAAATATATTTCATCATCGAACTTGCAAATGAAAGTTAGTTATCAAAATTAGCACTACAGAATGATGTTTTATTGTCTTCCTGAAAGGTGTCTAAGAAGATACTCTTACAGTGCTGCTGTCATTTTCTCATATGTGGTATTTTAAATCTTTAGGTGCAATTATATAGTCATTGTGTTTTTCAGGTTTTGGAATTCAGTGATGAGGATTTTAGTGCCTAGAAGTTGATGCTCTGTCAAAACCCACCCTAGGATAGCGTACCCAAAGAATTATTTCCATCTACTTGCAAAATTATGTTTATTGCTAACTGCAACTGAATATATCATAATACACATTATGGCTTCTTCTGTGTTTTGTTGTGAAACAACAAGTTGTATGGTTCAACAGTGTGATGGAAGAGTTTCACTAAGTAGGTAAGAACTCCTACAATCTTCAAGATTATTGCAACTTCAGAAACTTATACTTATTACTCTGATTCAACCTTGCTTCAACTGGTCCATAATTAAAACCATATATTTATTCCTTGTTATGTAGCAACTTTTATATTTATTGTGAATAAAAAATATATTTACATTTGTCAATTTTTGTTTTATTTGTTTGAGTAAAATGCGATTCTATTTGACATTGGTCCTAAGACCAAGGCATGCATATCTCAAAACAGATTTGACTATGAGGTAAGACAGGGTAGATATAAACAAAATCATACATTTAAATATACTGGAATAACGTAATTACTATATTTATGTAGTGTCATTACAAAATGGTGTTTGAAAAATAATTGGGGCTACAACAATTCCCTATGGGCAATTTTGTATGCAAAATAAAAACTTTTAATGGTAGTTTTACTGAAACACTTTAATCCACTCCGATACATCAACTACTTCCGTTCAAGAGATAGCAGCATATACAAGGTGATTCGCAAGTCGTGGCCAAAAGTGAACATCATACACAGGATCGGATTTTAAGGGGGATCTTCTATGTAACATTTTTCCCTCGAGGGATTAATTAAAAACACGGGGGTTAAAGTTTAAGAATAAAAAACGATTTTTTTAATATCTTCAAAACTGTCAACTGGAATGAACTGTATATCATGCAAACTGCTAATATCAGAAAGTTACTTACCCGCATTCCCAAATTTTCTGTATTCTATGGCATCCATAGTATCGCTATACTGTCTTCCAGGTAGATTCAACCATGCCAGGTATCTCTACCTGACAGTCACATCTGGTATATACATTTCAATGGCTAGAGTTTACTGCTGTTACTGTGTGATACACAGAGGCGAATTTAAAATGATGCACTGTCAGTCAACGGGGCCCTCGAAAGCGAGTTATGGGGGTCCCAGCTTAGTTTAGACCAAACTTTTATGTTGCCAAGATCATAATGCTCTTAGTACGCAACTCCGCACACCCTTCAACTTCACTAGTGGAGACCCTGTACCAACTCTGGGCCCCAAAGATTCTAGATACTTCAGTGGTGGAAGATACAGAGCTAACTTAACGAGAAAGTATTCTTGACAGAAAAGAAGACTATCCTTCCTAGTTCGTATGCTATACCGCGCCAAATTTTACACATTTAAATATCAGATGGCGCTTCAGTTAATTCACCTGCCATCTATTGTGTAGTATTTGAATACAAAGTTTATTAAATTAGATATCTACAAGCGTCTCCAATTGACATAACCTCAGACAACTTTAACTTGTTATTAATAGATGCCTCACAATGCACTATTAAGCGTCATCTCTCAAACCTTATTTTGATTAAGCACTTGCACCTACTGTAGAAACCTGTACCTTTTAGGCCTTGACTGATATCATAAATACTTAAGTAAATAGCGAAAAGATGGCGTGTTAGCAAATTGAAGCGCCACCTGACGACTTGTCATTCAAACCATTGCCTTTCCGTTACGCCAGTCATCGGAAAAGTCAATATTCAAAAATGTGTCAACAATCAAAACATATGATTGTGAAGTGCATGAACGAAACCTGTACATTATTTTAATTATTTTCAAGCGTATCGACACTAACTGAATAGATATATGGATTCAGACGAAAAAAGAGCTATAATCAATAAGATAGGAATGTTCATCCCGGGTAAAAATAAGTGGCTCGAGTACAACGCGAAAATGGAAGAATGCTTTGACGACCACCCTGTCGACTTGGAACAACGTAAAGAACTATGCATCGCTTCCCTGGGCGCTAAAACTGTTAAGATACTCAAGGGCATCGTTAAACCACAAAAAATTCAAGATCTAGATTATACAACCATTGTAGACAAACTGGAGGAATATTTCTATCCCACACCAAATCGACAGTATTATTTAACCAAGTTTATGCTGAGAAAACAGCTGAGAGATGAGTCTTTTTTCAAATTTGTCTGGCATCTTCGTCAGTTATTGCATCAATGTAGGTTGAGTAAGTATTTAACACCAAATCCAGCCTAATAAAAGCTACTATACAGCAATATACAGTAATGGACAAAAGTATATAGACAAATAATATTGTGCTGTATTTCTTTTTTAACTTGTTTTATTAATACACCAATCTGTATACATAGTTCGTTATAGCATAATACTCACTTATACATAAATAAATTCATTAGACTACCTCAATAGAAAATTAATTAAAAAAACTGGAAATATAAAGGACAAAAATATATAGACAAAGCAAAACAATTATAGAAAAAAGAAGCAAAGTTCATTGAATTATAGACAACCAACCATGTTTATGTTAATATTTTGTAGCATAACCATTATTATCAATCATTGCCTGGCATCGTCTCGGCATAGATTGTAGAAGTTTCTTGATATAAGATTCATCAATCTGTCTCCACTTTTGCTCTAATGCAGGCAAAAAGTTCATCCTTGTTTGAATAATTTTTATCTTGTATTTGCTTATCTATGTATTCTCATAGATTTTCAATGGGGTTTATATCGGGAGACTATGAATGCCATTTGAGAACTGGTATTGTTTCATCCAGAAAGAATTTCTTTTCGAAGTGTGCTTCGGGTCATTATCTTGCTGGAAGATTGATCTTAAGGACATATTGTCTTCCATATAGGATAACATGACATGCTTTAGTATGTCTGTGTATACAAACTTATCTATAATGTCATCTATTCTATGTAAAGGGCCCATCCCAAACCTCAAAAAGCACCCCCAAACCATAACAGACCCGCCTCCATGTTTGACAGTGGGCAAAGTGTACTTGGGGTTCAATCTTTGTCCACTAGGACATCTAACGTAATGAACACCATCTGATCCAAACATATTGAACTTGGATTCGTCACTGAAACATACCCTCTTCCAGTCACAGATGCTCCAATCAAGATGCAACTGTGCATATTGTAATCGGTCCTTACGGTTTCCTCGAGATTAGTGGCTTCTTACTTGGGCGACGTGCAAATAACTTCAAATTATTTAATCTTCTACTTATTGTTTTCATAGAAACACTGATAATTTCTTTTGTCTCGCTTTCGGCTTTTATTTGTTTTGTGGTTTTAAACAGATCTTTGGACGAAATTACTTTTATTAATCTAACTGATCTAGCATTTAGTTTTCTAGGCCGACCACTCCTCTTAGAGGCTTCCAAGATACCTTCTGTTTATGTTGTTATGTTTGTTCAATATTGCCCAAACTGCTTTACGCTTCAGCTTCAAATTTTTGGCAATATCGACTTGATGTTGACCATCTTTGTATAACTGAATGATTTTAGTTTTCACATCGAAAGAAATTTCTGGACCATGCATCATCAAATCACTCAAATTATTCCACAATACTTGATGAACACAAACTAATCCTCTTCTAATACGAAACTGCACTAAACTAATGTTGAAAAGAATTTGTCTACATATTTTTGTCCTCATAAAAAAGTGCTTATATTCAGAGTTGTATTGTGTTCATTGCAGATCATGTAAAAACAAGGAATTTAGTCTTTCTACTAATATTCTACTAAAATTCGTTTTCTAAAGGTATTTAGGTAAATATTCATATTTGTCTATAGACTTTTGTCCATTACTGTATTTTGGTAAAAAGGTAGCAACTGACCTCTGTTACCTGTAACAAAACATTGTTAGATTTTACCATTTATTAACATACTTTCCAAAAAAATTCTCAACCCTGTGCAGATACTGTGTGACTACAAAAAATAAAAATTCTAATAATGAGCTTGAATCATGTCACTCAAATAATCCAGTCTCTTCAAACAGAGTAGGACAGAGCAACAATAAGTTGGCTGAACGTGTACCAATAATAAAATATTCAGTTTATTCATTCTCCAGAAAATTGATTTCTACCAAAGTATCTAGTTTGTTATGCTGCATACCAACAGACAATATAACTGTAAGGATGAGTGGTTGGCAGTACCATGGTACAAATAATTATTTTTGCACAGGCATGGCTTTCAATTCAATTGGGTATCTTTTAGTAGAATATGTTAATCAGGGCTGTTACTGTGCAGACATTCAGTATCAGTTTAATAATAATAATAATAATAATAATCTATATTCCAAATTGTACAATGACATTACAAAAATTGTATAGCCACTACAAAATGAAATGTTGCGTCACTATCGCCATAACTGTAGTAGTTTACCTGAGACCTTTTTTTTGTGTTACATGGTTATTTATCTTAAAACAGCTACTATCTTAGTTTAGTACAGCTTCACAAGAAATTCCCTGTATGAGTAGGACATCTTGTAAAGCTATCTCTTATCATTCTTAAATACCTTAGTCATCAGGAGAAAACCCTTTTCTTTAGGGGTCATTAAAATCTATTCAACCCTCATTTACTCCATGTTTCAACAAACAGGAACACTTTGTTGCTGCTCCTATTCTTGTATTGCTGTCTGCCCAGCCATGTATGTCTTGCTAGCCAGTAGGAGCATGTGAATTTGAACATCACATGCTGGTGTTTGTTTTGATGTAAATGAGATTTGAATACATAATAGTACTGAATCTTATGATTTATTTTTTATTAGGTAATGAAGAAGCTCATAAGAACCTTAAAGAACAACTTATTACAAATACCACAGGCATTGTGAAGCTCATGCTTGAGAGTGAACTACAGAAAGAAAAAACTGTACCTACCCTATCAAAAGTCTTCTGTAAGGGCCTTGAAATTGATGATAGGTTTGTTCATGGGATTCGCAAAAGCAGGCGCAACAAGAAAAAACTGAGGAAAAGTAAAGAAAAAAAGTGTTTCAGGTAAGGAAATTGTATCATTGTATTGTATAAAATGAGGTTGCCAGTGATTTTGATACTAGCAAAGACTGGGATATAAACCTCATTTGAAAATGTTTACTTGACGTTTTGCCAACATGAGGGATTGGCATCCTCAGAAGATGTTCACGGTTCAGAGTCCTGTGAGATACTGACTTGCTGAGATCTCCGCCACAGATTAGCGTCCGGAGATTTTTTTCCTAGGGGTTGTTACGTGTTATTAGCCTGACGTCACGAATGTCAGATATCCAGTTGCAGAATGAAGAAATTTGTGTTTATTATTTCTCCAAATGCATTTAGGCCAGATAATTCATTTGTGTTGATGAAACTGTTTCGTGGACACGTGCAAAACATTCCATGGATAACGCCCAAATCAACATTTTTGATCATACTAACAGAGCTATTTCACCATCTAATTCAGTTAACATGCTGGGGATGATACTTGATTGTTGAATATCGTGGGGGGTTCCACGTTGAGTGTTTGTGCAATAGATTGCGATGGAGTTGCTATGGCTTGAAATTCTTAGCAAAGCAGAGCAGTAAACGAATTTTAAAAACTTTATACTATGCCACCGTCAACTGTCATATCCGGTATGGTATTCTCAATTGGGGAAGTAGTTCACTAACTGTAAGAGTTCTCCTGCTGCTAAAATATGCCATTAGAATTATTGATAACCTTGGTTGGCGCTAATCCTGTAGAGAATCCTTTAGAACACTAAAGATGTTGACTGTTATAGGTATTTACATTTATGAGTTGGCTTTGTTTGTTTTCAAAAATAAGCGCGAATTTGAAGTCATCAAACACCAGCATGAATATCCAACTAGGTCTAAGATGCTTTTAATCCCGCCGAGACATCGAACTACGGCATACCAAAAAACATGCAGGTATATGGGATGTAAGATTTTTAATAAGCTCAATGATGATATTAGGAATGAATCAAATATAGCTGTTTTCAAAATAAAACTAAAACTTTTTTTGATAGACAAATGTTTCTACACCTTGGAGGAGTTTTTTGTTTAGATATATGTTTTTATACTTTTTCAACTCGTCACCACTATTTTTATGACCTTTTCATTTGTTATAGAATTTTCTGTTCCATTCAACAATGAAATAAATTATTATTATTATTATTTATTATGATCATTTATTTGAGACTGGCTATTTTAGATTTATTTCTTCTTTGTAATCCAGATGCAACCAACCACTGACAACTCATGAAAATATCACTTGTCCCTTTGACTGGGCACAATGCGAGTCCTGCGAGATGCCTGGCCACCTGCTTACCGCTTGCAAGTACCAGAAGACCAAATGCAATAAGTGCCGAGTGATTGGGCACGTGGCCAAGATATGTAAAGGACAGAAAGGGATTAAGGTATTTCCTGGGCAGAACGATGATCCTGCTAGTGCGTCGGAAACTGAGCATTCAGTTAGAATCAATGATCTGTCCGATATTGAAAGGCTTACCCGGCTTATACTAGACTAACACTAGCTAGAGTTGTTGAACATATTTTTGGAATGGTATGAAATAAGTTGTAAGGAGAATGTCACACTATCAGTCTGACATTGTGAATGTCATATTTTATGTCGTACTCATTTTTATCAATGTTGGGTACACTATTTAAATCACTATCATTTGTAGATCACATTAGAGTTTTTTTATCTTTCAACACTAACCCATTTATTCAAAAAAGATGAATACATATTTTTAGCTTTGTTCTTTGATGGGGTTATTGGTGGTAACTACAAAAAAAAATGAATAAGATGAATATCTACTGATAATGTTTTTTCTGCCTTGTTTTACAATGTTATACTTTTCGACAACTGAGTGATTGTGTTGATAGGGGAGAAGGGGGCAAGTTGTTACAAAATTAATATAGTTATTTATTTGGGCAAAAGTTGTTCTTTTATATAATAATAATAATAAAGTGACTTTATTGGCAACCTTCCATATTATAGCGAAGTTTAGCTTGATTGCTACTCTTCCACTTAACCATAATATGGACAAAACGTCAAAAATTTATACAAGGAACATAATACATGGAATATAAACAATGACAGAACAATGACGAGATTATTCCATTTGCTAGCCAAGCATGCCATAAAGCAAATATCGACATGAACATTAGAAGTCAACCAAATTGAAAATATTCATTTAACAAAATCCCAAAAATAAAAATAAAATAAATTAACAACTTAAACATTGAGAGATGATTGTATCTCTAATAGCTGTTTTCTAACTGATTTTTTAAAAGAGAGTAAACTTTCTTGTTTGTTAGCCGCACTGACTGAATTGTAAAGCTGAACGGCATTATACGTGAAAGACGTCTGATGTAATGAGGTGTAGTGAAGAGGAATATTGAACTGTTCATCATGACGTAACCTTCTTGAAATTACAAAAACCAACATATGAACCTTGAAAAGATTATTGTGCTTCAGCCACCCCAGCTCACAGATCTTGGATGTAACATGGCTGTACCTAGGAAGGCCGAAAACAAAACGACAACAACAATTTTGAATTTTCTGCAATCTGGTTTTTGTTATGGAGTCAAGACAAGGATAAAACAGTATAAAACAGTAAAGCAGCTTAGACATAACTAAACTTTCCACAAATTTCTTTCTAGTCTTGAAATTGAGAATAGAACGATTGGAGTATAGGAGTCTTAGGCTTCCATATGTAGCTTTAGATATATTACTGACGTGGTGATGAAATCTAAGATTTACGTTTAAAGTATCACCTAGACTTTTTGCATGCGTGACGAGTGGAATATGGACATTATTTGAGGAGGTGACTTTCAAAATGTGATATGTCCGTCGGATACTGAACCCTGAAAAATGTACATTTTTCATTTTGACGAAAACGATATTCTTTTGTACAATCTACCGGTAATGGAAGATAAAACTGGATGTTCTTAACGTATTATCAAATTTTTACAGATAGATAGCACTTATATCTCTCGATTTTCAATATTGAAAAATGGACAAAGCGCCTTATGCACGAACCATGTGGAGAAAACACGATTTAACCGAAAACATGTTACAACTTTAGTGGACAGACGTGTTTTGTCCATACAGGATTGATTGGTGTACGACCGTTTAACTTATAAACAGTAAATAGGTACAAAAAATAATTTGGAAATTACTTTATTTTACATTACAGGTGTTAAATACATTTAAATTCTAATGCAATTTTCGTGATCCAGACAGTCACACTCATTCGCTTCATCGGCTACTTCCTCAGCTACTTTCTCGGCAATGGTTGGACTATTGAAAAGTACTTGTTTGTACCAGTTCAAGCGGTTGTCGTCTAGATTTTGCCAGCTTCCAAAAATAGTCTGCAATAATTTGTCAACATCGCTCTTCTTTTGGTCAGATAAGGCTCTTCCAAGAGGCAATGTTTGTGGTTCCATTCTACATAACATAGCATTTGTGAATGACTTTTTGTTCAAATTTTGATATGATTCATCCCCCTCATAGATAAAATTCTCCATTGCCTTAACTCTGACTAAACGCTTACTGTGAACCTCACTGATTTTGAAAAATATCCTTTTTATGTTGCTTATATTTTTCAGGTCCTTGTAGAACTTCTTCAAATTCTTGGTGTCTTTGAGTTCCCAGTCCTGCCTTAGAACGTATAACTGCCCCAGGTCTTTATAAACATTCATATATTCTTGTTTTTCAATAATAGTTGGCTTATTCCGCAACAGTTTTTCAACCCTACCAAAGATCCTATCTGCAGGAAGAAACGAATGCCCACGGGTTGGAAATTGCATATGAATTTCTTTAATTGCTGATGTCGTCTGTGTTTGCATAAAGTACAGGATAGTACGTATTACAATATTATTCTTGTTCTGAGCGCCGCATCCATCACTGAATAGTCTTAAAATGCTGCATGTCTTGAAATCAGTATTGTAGAGGAAATGCAACAAAGCAGATGAAATTTCTGTACTTCCCTTCCCGGCTTGTTCCTCAGTCCAGCAGTAAAATCAATATTTCACCATGAAACTGTTTCTTTGCAATGTTTTGCAGTCTAGTGCGGCCTATCTTTGTTACTTCTAGAAAGAACTTCTTACAAACTGGGACCCTCTGAGAATTGACTCTTAGAAAGTACTTAACAGTGTATAAATGATTCGAAACAACCTTTTTGTTAGGTTTCTCTCGTGGCCTTCTACGCTTCACTCCATGAGTCTGGATCAAGGATGAAATGATTCCATCCTGTGCAAGCTTCTCCGGAACCAAACACAACTTTCTTCGAACTTCTGCGACGTGAATTGGTGTCACTTTTGAGCACCCAAATACTTTTGTGTTGTGCCCACAAGGGTTGATCACATTAGAGTTAAGAAGTCTTGAATATATCGCATTTTTAGCGGCAGCCCTTTTTCCACCAGTAGAATGTTTCTTACGACTACCACTATTAGCCACTTGTACTTCGACAGTATCTGTTTCGTCTTCTTCCATTTTCAAGCAGTGTTGCCAGAATTTATGATCGAAGTGTACTAGCCTTGAGCCGAAAAATGTACTAGATTATAATAAATTGTACTAGATTCAGTTTAGCTGCTCACACTATTTACTATTTTTAATATAAAATACATGTGAGGATAAATAGGAAATAACAGGCAAAATAATATTATATATATATATATATTTAAAAACTGAATATAAAACAAAAAACAATATAAAAACTAGATCTAAGGAATCATATACCTAAAACTAATAAAATAAGTAAACATAATAAAAATCAAATTAAAATCTTTGGTATTCTTAGGAACTAAACAGAACAACCATTTTTTATACATTAATAATAATATATGTACACAGAACACAGAATGTTCGAAGGTACACAAGGTATTTTTTTGGGGATGATTGACATTTTGACACACCACACGAAGTGTCATAATTTATTTGTAAACAATCTGTCTACGACAAAGAGACTGTGACGGTTCCCAAGAATAACAGAAGCATTCTCCTAAATTTCCTTTTGCATGTAAAATATCATTAAGTGTTTCTATCGTCAATCTATTTCTTAATTTTGTTTTTAACAAAGCCACTGTTGAAAATATTCTTTCGGCCGCTGCTGAATAATGCGGTAGAGATAACAAACCTATTATCAGCTTTTCTAAATGTGGGAACATGTCCTCGTTCATTGCATTTTTTAGTTTTAAAACTTGAGACCAGAAATCGTCAACTGAATTTTGATCTATGTTCTTCAGCTCTGCAATGTCTGGTAGAAGGCGCCATTCAGAATTGAGTTTCTCTATGTCGGAAATTAAATTTGGGAAAAACATTTGAGCATCTAACGCAATGCTACCAACCTCACCTGATAAGGCGATCTGCGGATCCAACACATAACTTATAAATTTGAGAACTGGGTCATCAAAATTGAATCGTTTTTTGATCTGTTGGGAGAGTTCGATATAAAATTCCAGAACTCGTAATTTAAAGTTATGAATATCTTGCTTGCAAATATTAGGGTTACTCAGTAACAGTTCTGTTTTGGCACCAAAATATACATTTTCTAATGGAATAAATGATCTTGGATCATTTGTATCAATTTGATTCAATGGTTGGTTATCTAGAATTTTTTTTTTAACAAAATTCCTGAGAATTGATCTATATAAATCAGATGTTCGTTTTAAAAGCAGATGCAATTTTGGTTTCTTAGCTTGGAATTCTATATTCAGTTTATTTACCTGTTCTAATACATAGGAAAGGAAAGTAAAATATACCTTGAATATTGGATTTTCCAAAGAGTCCATAATACTTTTGGTAGCATGAAGATCTTCTTCCAAATATTCACTCTGAAAAAAAAGTCTAAGGGCATCCCAGTTCTCTAGCAACCTATCGACAGCAGCCTAAAAAAATAAAGATTCAACTGATACATCTTAGTTCACTGTAGAAATATATAGTTAGTCTTACTTGCAAAGATAACCAACGTGTCTGACAAGGGTGTAAAATTTTATGTGGTTTTAAGTCTACAAACTTCTGAAATTCTTCCAGCTTCTCCTTTCTTTTACTACTATGTGCAAAGTAGTTATATATAGACCTTATGAAATCCTCCAATGTTCTTGGTAACTTTTTTGCTGCTGCTGAGGAGCATAAGTGAAAAGAATGGCAGACACATCCGAGAATAAAAATATTGGGCAATATGGTTCTAAATCTTGCTTGGACCCCTGAGATATGGCCCATCATTACTGATGCATTATCTGCTGCCAATCCCAACATGTTGTCCAAAGGAATGTTAAGTTGTTTTAAGTGATCACATATAGCTTTAAATAGACTTTCTGCATCTGCTGAGAGTACCCTGACCAAATCCAAGAAAGCTTCTTTAGATCTATTTTGTAAAACGTCAAAATATCGTGCAACAACAACTAGTGATTTTTGTGACGATATGTCTGTTGTTTCATCCACAATTAAAGAGAATTTTTGTTTTTGAAGTAACTGAGACATTGAAAATTGATGTTCTTCAGCAATACATCGAGTAACATTTGTCGCCTTTGTCCTAGCACATTTTAGTTCTTTTGCGATTGTAGAATCGGGACATATGACAGATAGTAATAATATTAAATGATCCATAAGGATAAATGGCAGATTGTGCTCATGGATAAACATAGTTAGTTTCAATTCTGCTCTACATACACTCTTTAAAACATCATTATTTTCACAGTAATTTTCAATGGTTGGTGTCTTTTTTGCTTTTATGATGTTTTTTTTTCATGAGTCTGGGATGATGCATGTCGTCCTAAATGTTTAAAACCTCCAGCAATAAATCTTGAGCAAGCTTTACAGAATGATTGTTGTTTTTTTTCTTCTAACCAAGGATAGATTCGTATCCACTCTGATCTAAATTTTTGTTTGTAGTGTTTTTTCCTCTTTTTCTCCACCTGAGGCGTGCTAGGAATTTCTTCAGACGAAGTCATACTATCTGTATTCTCGGAAGAACTAACGGCTGATGTACTTGCTACTTCAGTTGTAGGTTCTTTTTTCTTCTTCAAAAACCTATAAAAATTATTCTGTTTGTAACAAAAATATTGCACTTTGCAATTGCAAATTTAGAAAATTCAATTAGGTGATAATATTATTTACCTGTCCATAATGGAAACCCCTTGATCTGAGATGAGAATCGGAGCAACTAACTAAAGGGATAGGGGATTACCAATAAGCAATAAGCCACACACGTATGTTAATAACAACAAACCATTTAAGCCAAAGAAAAGACCTATAACTGAATGTAAATTCGGTGTTTATGGTTTGTTTTCAAATTTTTAAATTGCACACCCTACTAACCTTCTTTCTACTATGCCCCTCCCAAACAGTCTGTCATCTGTCATTAGTTTCAATAATTTCAGGCTGCGTGGCTGCCTAATTTCTGCACACGATAATAGGCAACCCAGAATACACCATACACGCCAAACATGCGAAAATGATTTGTTTTACAGTTTAAGTTCAATTCTAATGATACTTTTCATTTCATCAGGGCAAAATTGTTGTGTTTCATGTTTTACTAGTCTGAACTAAAATTGTTATTGAAAAATTCGAAAGTCGTGCTAGATTTTCAACAAAACGTACTAGCGTACAAAATCATGTTAAAATGTACTAGATCTAGTACATTTGTAGTAGACTGGCAACACTGTTTTCAAGCTGCATAATTCAAATACAAAATCAACATAACCTCAACTTGTAACGACCGTATGACAAGTGATTAATTCAAAATGTGTTTCGTCTAGAGGTGGCTGATATCGTGATTTCTGGATATCGGTGATATCCGTGATCGTGACTTTTTGATATCAGTGATTCAAAAGCGTGACGTGATCACGACTTTCGAGTAACGAGTAGGGTATGACTTAACTGATACCCTGAGCTCACTGTGATAAAGTAGCATCAAACACTTAAGTTTGCGTTTGAAATATGTAGATACTAGGTACATATGTATAATAATAGTCTTCTGAAATGAAAACTTGTTGAATATATTACTATGACAAAATACATTCGAGTACGATAACCAAACAAAAATAAAGAATACGAGATTCCACAAAAATAAATATATAAATGGTATTCTAGTACTATATATAAAGTCTCAAAAGCCAACAAAAATAAATAGAATGTTCTATCATACTATAGAATAGTAAAAGCAATAACTAAATGTCTGCCATGTACTTCATGTTAGAGTTGAGAAATAATAACATTTCAACATTTTTGGTGGTCAACCTAGTTCGCCTGTCGCTTATAACTTGCCCAGCTTTCGAAAACAGCCTTTCATAGGGAACTGAAGTAGCTAAGTTACACAGTTGTTCCTGTGCAATTTTGGATAGATATGGGAGCATTTGTCTGTGTTCTCTCCACCAGAGAAAGGAGTTGCTTGTTCGAGGGATGATTTCCTCTTCCAAGTATCTCTGCATTTCGATAATTGCACGAGAAGTGAATGTTCCCTTTGGTTGAGCACTCGCAACGATTTTATCGAAGTTTCCCCAAATCGACAGTTCTCCATCTTCCTCTTGATTCAATGACGATTTGCTCTCATTAACTAAGCTTTCAGTTACGTGATTTCCAAGCTCAGAATTGTCTTCTCGTATTTTCCTTGCTATTAGTTCTATCAATCTTTTTTTCGTGTTTTCAGCAGCAGTTTTGTCAAAGAACGCAATATCCTTGAATTTGGGATCAAGAAACGTGCTATTAGATAAGGTACCACTCCTTTGAATATTACCAAGGCGTTCCTGTAAGCCTGAGTACCAAACTTCAACCACATTGTTGACTGTTGCTGTGAACCGCTTCTGATTCACCAATTTCACAAATACGTTTTGTAATCCGGAACAGATGGGTATCACAAGGGAAGTGGTGCAATATGTATCTCCAGATAGAGCTCTAGACGCATCTTCGAATGGTTTCAGCACAAGACATAGTTCTTTGATAATGTTCCATTCCTCTACATTTATCACAGGTAGTTCCTTGTCAATAATAGCAACAGTGCTCTTAATGGCTTCTTCTAGCCGAATAAACCTCTCTAACATATAGTAAGTTGAATTCCAATGAGTAGCCACGTCAAGAATTACTTTAAGAGGAGTTTCGATTCCCGTGTTTTCTTGATACCTCAGGAGTTTGTTGTTCGAAATTGTACTTTTCTTGAAGTAGCGTACTATTTCTCGAACTTTTTCTAAAATCAATGTGATCCTTTCGTTTTTTAATCCATCCTTGACCATAAGGTTGAGCGTGTGTGCAACGCATATTTTTCCATTTCACTAGCTGTAAAGCTTTTTGTATGTTTGCTGCATTATCCGATACAGCAAAAACTATCTTGTCTTGTATATCCCACTTAGTGGCTGCTTTTAGGAGAAATGCAGCTAGATTCTCAGCTGTATGACCTTTTTCAAATGCAGAACACTCAAGGAGAACCGATATCAAATTAAACTCCTTGTTTAAAAAATGTGCAGTTACAGCAACATAGCTAGTGTTGGTGTTATTTGTGGAAGTCCAACCATCAGTTGTGACACAAAATGTTTTTCCAGTTGAGATCAGGTTTTTTGTGTTGGTCAAGCATTCTTCATTAAGTGCCGGAATTAATGTTTTTGAAATGATGCGCCTTTCTGGCAATTGATATGATGGATTGAGGGCTGCAACGAATTCCCTGAAGCCAGTATCAGCAACTATAGAGAATGGCTGAAGATCTTTCACGCAAAGATAAAGTAACTTCCTGTCAATTTTATTTTTCTGTCTGGCACTAATTTTTGTTTGCAATATGTTTGAAAAACTATCAACTTTCGTTTGAGTGATTCTAATTGGAGCATTTGCTTGGCATGCTATCATTTGCTTGGAGGTAGATGGGTGATTGTCAACAGCACTCTCCATAGATTCTCCATTATCTGTCTGAAAAAAAAATAAAAGAAAGGATTCAAATCCCCGTTGTGTATTTATATGTAGTATTCCACAAACGTTGATTTTGATACCTATAAATAATTAATGATGACAGACTTCAAATAATAAGCTATGAAAAATCCATGAAAATTATTGGAATATTATAGTACCAAAACAAAACTCTTAGAGATTAAAATCACTCCATAATGTAGGGCTGAAAACAAAGTCTAAAATATATTCACTTACCTTACTGCGATATATATGTGTATCACTCTCACTAGCGGTGATTGTTGATTTCAGGGTAATGGTGGGATGTCTTTTGTTTATGTGTTTTTTCAAATTGCTGGTACTAGTTTTGTACGAAAATTTGCACTTGCACATGTTACATATTGCAAAGCTTTCGTCAATCGGCTGAAAAAATTGCCACAATTCGCTTGATTTTTTTCTCAAGATTGGCGCCATGGTATCACGTTTTGATCTGCAGGCGAAAATAATCTCAAAGTAACCTAAAATCCAGCTTGTTTTGGTTTACACTGCCCCTTACGCTGTACTGTTACAATGTTCAATATCGCTTACAGGCCATGCGGCGGCTTACGATTTTCGACCTCACGGCAGCCCGCATGCGCCACGCGCGACGCATGCGAACGGCTTGCATATTCAAAATTCAAACAGTGCCGTGAACGTTGATACCGTGAACCGTGATGCGTGATCGTGATCCCATCCCACTTTATCTTCGGCGACGCGGGTGCCGGGCGGATGTTGGCTCGGCAGCGCGCTTGTGCGAAGTCGTGATCACGTCACGCTTTTTCACGACATTCAGTAACAGCCGTTATCCGTGATTCCAAGATATCAGTTACTGGATCACAGTTCGTGAAATATCTGACATCACTAGTTTCGTCCAAGATAATTCGAAGGTTAAAATGGCGTTCGCTCATCTATGATTGGTTGTTCGGACAAAACACTTTATAATCAAATTCAAGCGGATAACCAAATGGAAATGGTATTTACCATTTTGGGTTGGTATTTACCAATCCGTTCAAGCGAGTGTAGTTATCAGTTTGGTTATAAGATCCGTGACGTCACGAATCAGCTGTTATATGTCATAGTTATCACCGCAAAATTGTGGTATTTACCCAACTCAAGAGTAGTTTTATATTTTTGGTTATTATTTGAAATGTGACAAGTTAGAATTTTGCCGGGTATTGGATATTGTTATTGTATTTCAGCTTCATTTTGAGAAAAATGATACAGGCTGACTTCAGTTTTACCATAAAGTGGAGCACCTTATTAGTTATACTCATTACGGTTGTTGGGGACACTTTAAATGTAGTTCCTATGCTTAACAAAGTATCATTTGTAGCCATATACCACAAGGATATTAAAATATGGCCATATAAACTCACTAGATGATATCCACCTGTATACGGTTTTGCTAATTTCTTTTTTCATCATTTCTGCTGAATCAATAAATGTTTTCTTTGACATGCGGAAAAATTTAGAGAATTGAAAGTTATCATAGCTACAAAGCCATGGTTCCATCATTTAAAAAAAAAATCTGAAAAAAACATTTCTCCCATGAATATTAAGAAAGGTTTCTTATTTAAACTTTCCATATACAGTTGTAGACGAAAAAGCACCGATTATTAAGTGATAATAAAAATAATCAGAGATGATATACGCGCTTTTCTAAAATAAACAACTTGCAACGAAACCGCGGTTAAAACCAACGCGTTCAAGCGATTCGTGTAACTGACGTCATCAACCCGTGTGTCATCTTGAACCAAATTATAACCGCGGCACATAACACAGAAATTTTGGTTATTCGCTTGGATTTGATTTATGACTGATTTCCGACGAAGGACAAAACACGTTACGTTTTTACCAGCATTTTTAGACGAAGAAAATATATAGGAGAGGACACAATTTGGTTGCCCTTGTGTACTAAAAACAAGGGGTTCGTAAATGAAAGAAAGATGGACTTGTAAACACGTTTTTTTCTCATTTGTGACAAAACACGTTTTGAAAGTTACCTCCTCATTTACCCTCAAATCATTCATCCTTTCAAAATGCTCATAGTTGGTTTTGGGACAGAATAACATTGCAAAACTCTTGGTAGGATTGAGCTTCAAACAGTTAGCCTTGCAATAGTCAGTTATATCTACCAGATCTAAATTTATTTTATATGAAGCTTGATCTACATTAGTAGAGTCAAGAGTGAAGGTCAATTGTGTATCGTCTGCGTAAGTATGAATACTACAAAACTGTAATACAGTATGCAAGTCAAAAGTTTAAATTAAATATAGTAAAGGACCAAGCACGGAACCCTGAGGAACACCATAAGCAACATTGGCACTAAGAGAAACTCCTTGGCTTGTTCTTACTCGTTGCTTGCGATTATTTAAGTATGATTTAATAAAGCAAAGAGGAACGTCAGATAGTCCGTAGTATTTTAATTTGGATAGAAGCATTTCGTGGTTAACCGTATCAAATGCCTTTGAGAAATCTAACAACACCAGCACAGTGTAAATATGATTGTCTAAGTTAGAGATAATCTCATCAGTTACGTGTAATAATGCAGATGTTGTGCTGTGACCACTACGGAAACCAGACTGATAATTTGGAAATATATTGTACTCTTCAAAATATTTTACCAATTGCATATAAACAATTTTTTCCAATATCTTTGACAAGGCACACAATATACTAATGGGTCTCAAATCCGAATATTCTGTAGGATTATTATTCTAAGAGCCTCTTTCCACAAACTTGGAAATACTCCTTTTTCTAAACAAAAATTGACGATATGTGTTAGATGAGGTAACACTTCAGGAATACACAAATTGATCATTCCTATATTAATTCCATCACAACCAGTTGCTTGAGATTTGATGGAAATTATAACATCTAAAACATCTTCTGGGGTAACTAAATGAAAGTGAAAGAGCGGAATGTCTGAATTAAAAGAACTTGAATTATATTCATCTACCGTACGATTTATAAGACGGGAATTAACATTGTGGGATACAAAATTTGATAAAAAATAATTGTTAACTTCGTCAGGATTGAGCAAGTGTGGGGGAATTTCTGCCTTATTTTTTTGGTAAGCTCCAAAATTATGTGGTTCCAAAATTTTTTAGGGTTTGACTTTTCGATATGAGCTAAATATGCTTTTTTCTCTCTTTTAAGTGCAGCAAGTGCGTGATTACGCAAAATTCTTTAGTTGATCCAATTTTCTTCAGTTGAATCATGTCGAAATTTGAGTAAAGCTTCATCTCTTTCCTTGAAAATACGTTTCAAGGTTGGGGTTAGCCAAGGCGATGCATTTTTCGTTATACGCGCTTTACGAATAGGTGCATGTGTATCGAAAAGAGCAATTAAACTTTCAGTGAAAAATAAAACCTTTTGATCGATATCATTAATATAAAAAATTTCATCCAATACATTAAGTCTTAAATGTGCTTTGAACAAGACCATATCAATATTTTTCAGGTCCCTATATTCAATAAATTTTGGTGCATTTCTAGGAGCAGGCATTGCTAATTCACAAAAAACTAATCTGTGATCGGATATTTGATCTGCTGCTAATGTCCCAGAGTTTAACATAATATTTACATCATTCACAAAAATGGGATCTATCAATGTGGAACTGAACTGCGTAATTCTAGTGGGCTCGGTAATAATCTGAGCATAATTATATGAATCGAAACATCTATTTAGAAGGTTCTCATGATTGAATAGATCAATATTTACATCACCCAAGAAAATAATATTGTCATACAACGGAGTAAAAAAAGGCAACAAATTGTCAAAATTATGTACGGCATCATTTAAATTCAAGTGAGGAGGGCGATAGGCAACCACGACCAAAAATGCAATGTTGTGAAGTTTGAACTTGCAGCATAAAATTTCCACAGAGCTATTAATAGCAACATCAATCTCTACTATTGAACAATTTAGGTTACGCTTCGCATATAGCCCAACACCACCTCCTCTGCTCACCAGATCCTTCCGTAAAAAATCATACCCTTCAATTGAAATTACATCATTAGGTATGCCGTCGATTAGCCATGTTTCACTCACTGCAGCGACATCAAAGTGATCTTTAATCATGTGTGTAAAATCATGGAAACCAGCTACTAGAGATCGTACATTTAAATGACAAATTTTCAATGAAATCGAATTAGCCATAGTTCACATTTTGTCTGAGGTTGTCCATATAGTATTGGCGAGCTGCACATTCTCCGAAGTTTGAAGAGTGGGCCGTAGGTAGATTCTTCTTGTTAGTTTTGTTATAATTCATACAGTTAATACACTGCAAGACATTAGATTTACATTCCTTCAGATAATGTTTCCTGGTACACCTGGGGCAAGTGAGCTCGGACTTGCATGTTTTATCAGTATGTCCATACCCACTGCACGTTGAACAACGGATTACACGTAAGTGTTCATAAATTGGTAACTTCTTCCATCCAACAAACAAACTCTCTTTCTCCAGCAAAACTTTACGTAGTGAAGGGGTTACTTCAATTATGATGTGAGACGCATTTACATATTTCAGCTTAGTAACAAATTTTATATCCTTCTTTTCTGTGTCAGTAAAGCTATTCAATGAAGTGATACTAGAAATGATATCTTCGGGAGTGTTCAGTCCGTTTACTAGAAATGATATCTTCGGGAGTGTTCAGTTCGTTTAAATTTACGTTTTTTACAAGCAACCTGGGATTCAATTTCTTTGCTTCATTGATAGTATAGTTTTCACCAAATTTGCTGGAAAGTGTGTTTTTAAGAGTGGCAAGTGAGCTATTATCATGACAGAAAACAGCAACTCCATTCTTAATTACACGATTTGTATTAATGCGGACGTTTAAATTACCAGGATTAATCGGTGACGTCACTTCATCCATAATACGATTTGAATTAGCAACTTCAGAAGAAGATTTGATAATTAGGACGGAAGAATCATTCTTGACTGGTTTTTTCAGCACATCACTGTATTTACTAGCTCCCGGTTGGGAAGGATACGTGGGAACAACGTTGCCTGCTTGTGAGCTAGAAGTGGAAGGAAGTCCCAAGTTCCTTTCATTAGACTCCAACAAGGACTTCTGTAATGTTACCGTGTACTCTAGGTCCTCCAGCCGTTTATGTGCCAAGTTCAGTTCCCGGTTTAGACACTCTACCTCTTTTTGTAATACCACAACTTTCGCATTATATGACTTATTGGAAGGGAATGATTTACATTCATCACATAGCCATAGCAAATTGTTGCATTCTAAAATAATTTTCATCCAATTATCTTTAATTGAAACACACGACGGATGAAATTTTAGGTTGCATGTACCACATTTAATAGATTTGGTGGAAACAATAGTTATCATTGCAGACCTCGCAGACGTCTACATCAGGTGCCATGATGAAATCATGGACCTAATCTACTGGACTATCCACAAGAATCGTAAATACAAACAATATTTTTGCTTCTCACAAATATTCAACCATAAGCAAAAAAGAAAATAACACGCGATTATGAACTCTATTGAACGTACGAATAAGGAGAAACGCTACTAAAATACAAAATATTCAGTATGCATTCAAACCTTCGGGTATACAAGTTGCACTGTACATTATCACACTTGATGAATTTTCGCGGATGATTCTACCTATAAAAATAACTATTCAGTGCCCCGCTAGCCGGTTCACTGTTCACATTTTCAGACGACGAAACATCTTCTGAAAACTAAAATTGGAGAAAGGTACCACATATATCTGTACATGTATTATCAATCTTATTTTATAATTTTTTAAATTTTTTGTATTTGGTAATTATAAGTTCAAGTAACTTTGTAAACTATAACAACTTGCCCCTCTGTAGGGCAAATTGTTATAGTTATACAGTCTAAGGGGTAAGATGATACAAGAAAAAAAACTCAAAAACTTCAAAAAACAGTTTGGATAAATGGTCTTGGAAGGAACCTTTATTTAGCAACACAAAAAACATTCGGAACATTACATAAAGTAAAATAAAAAAAAATAAATGAAACTTTTGTAAAAACAAAAACCTAAATAAACTTGTAAAGGAAAGTTAAACTAATCACTATCGGACAAGCAGTGAATACAAACATAAAAATCGATATCTTTGCCACAACCTACATGCGCCCACCCTTTACAGACAATGCACTGGATCCACTCTTCATTTCTAGAATGTGAAAATGGAGTTAAACATATCAGACATGCCGATTCTTCATCCTCTTCTGAGCTTGTAAAATCTATTTTTTAAGGGTCTTTTTAGCGCTCTGTTTCTTACATTTAGACTTTGCCCCACTTGTTAATTCACCTGATTTGTTTCTTTTAGTTGCTCCCACATTTTTTCTCTTTGTCTTGTCCTTTCTTCCTCCTCTAAAGCAGATTTAATCGGAGTGTCTGTCAAAATTGCGGAAAGTCTTTTCTTCCGACCTACTTTTGATTTTCTGGGCATGGCTTTTGGGGTAGTAGATAGTAAATCAACAGATTTATCTAACGATAAGCTGCAAGCTGAACTCGTAGAAGGTTGTGGGGTTCTTTGGTTTTCCCTATTAAATTCTGGTTCAGGACTTATTTCCATTGCTGTTTTAGTATTTTCTGGCTTTGGCCTGTCTGTTACTTCTGAGGGTAAGAATTCATCATCTTGAAATATTTCTCTGTTGAAAGGCCAAATTCCAGTCACCTTAAATCCTTTTTGTGTATTAAGAGGCGTAACAGCAGGGAAAATGAATCTCTTAGAACGGTAGGTATATCATAGATGTTCATTACTTTACCTGGATTAGATCTTAACCATGCATCTGCAGCACTATTGAAATTGAAATATCTTTTAAGTGGGCCAAACACAGTGCGATCAAGGGGCTGCAGCTTGTGAGATGTGTGGGGCGGGAAACTTAAAAGAACAACTCCATTAACTTTGCAAAAGTTCAACACAGGGATAGATAAATGTGATTCATGATTATCTAAGACCATTAAAACTGGTTTCTCTTTGCTACAGCGGACAAATTGGACAAAATGTTTCATAAACAACAAAAAATTTTCACATGTCATCCACCCAGAGGAACGGGATGCACCGACACAACCAGGAGGCCCATTTGCTACCATAACATCCTTGAATTTTTTCCGTGGAAATCTTATGAATGGAGGTACGAAATTGCCATTTGCGTTAACCGCTAATGCCAAGGTAACAAGTTGACCCCTTTCTCCAGAAGTGATAGCGCCTACCTGCTTAATTCCCCTTTTTGCTATGATTTTTGTGGGCCTCGTCCATATTATAGACATCTTGAAGCTGGAATTTATATTTATCGTAAACCTTGCCAAGATTATTGAAAAACTGCGACACATTATGGCGATTAAACGCAGTGGCTCTGCCCATACTAGTAGCTTCGGCTGTTCTGACAGATAAAGTTTGATGCCTCTTCAGAAATCCATATAACCAATCCTTGGAAGCTATTTCTTTCACCTTCCAATTTTCTGGAACAGATATGTTGTTTGCTATCGCAAAATGAAATGCAAGTTTGCGCAAATCAGAAGTTGTAAGACCGTAATAAATTTTAGCGGAATGTGTATTTCGCAAGTTCCTGTTCTTCGGCATTGCTAAATATTTTTCTGTGCGTAGCGTAGCCAACTAAGCACTTGCTTCTGTTTTCAACGTTTAGGGCTAACTTTCTTTTCATATAGCGGTGTAACGTCATAAAATTAACCCCGTAGCGAGTAGCAGCATCTCTAATTGATAATTTTTCTTGTAATATGGCCTGCATGGCACTTTCATATTGTTCAATTGGAATAATACCTCTTGCAGTTTTCTTCTTGTACGTTCGCACCATGTTCAAGAACCTGAAAACAACAAAAACAATTTTATTGTGTAAATTTTAGTGGAATGGAAAATTATAGTACTTGCATTAAAATATATGGGGCAAGTTGTTACAGTAACAACCTGCCCCCAAATTATTGTAACAACTTGCCCCGCGTGCACAAAATGAGGTTAGGTCAATGTTTTTTGGTAAGTATTGTGAATCAGGTAAAGACAACGGCATGCAAATAAAGAGAAAAATATAGGCTCCAGAACGGTATAATATACATATTTATTTATACTACTTACCAATTTTTCACAAACGGAAACAAAAGCGAACAGACAACCGTACAGTTTTATAACTGAAACAACATTATACACGAAAACACCATGAAGGACGCTACACATGAGTATAACTGTTCGTGTACAGATGGCGGGTCGGCAGAGCCAATCTCTTGTACATTTTCAGCCAACCCGTCGTACTTGCTGCTCTTTAAAATAATTATGTAACTTGCCCTCGTAACAACTTGCCTCCTTCTCCCCTACAGTTAAGCTTTTTGTAACATGTTCCATATAAATTCGTATGATATTTGGTTGTTTCATTGACTCGCATAAAGAATAACAGTCGTCCCTTTCTAACGCCAATATACAGGGTGATTCGCGAGTCGTGACCAAAAATGAAACATCATAGACAGGACCGCGTTTTAAGGGGGGGTCTTCTATGTACCATTTTTCCCTTGAGGACTTCATTAAAAAGATTCGGCGTGTTGAAGTTTAAAAATAACAATTTTCTTAATATCTTCTGGAATAAACTAGAATTTGGTATGTGGATTTACCCAAGTATTGTCCACATTCAAAAGTCTTTACTTAAAATGAACTTGCACCATTCGCGGAGATATAGGGGATCAGTGGCATTATTTTTCCAAATAAAAATAGTACGACACTGTTTCTTTTTTTTTTCGAAACGCGCAAATTTTCGAATTTTACCTTTAATTTGCTACAAATAATTACTCTTGTTTTCTCCTATAGTACACTGTTTCCGTAAAAATACAAATAAATTAAATTAGACCATTCATGAAGAGGCGAGATACAATTAAGTTCAAAATAAAATAGGAGGCCTTGATACCAACGTCGTTTCTTGGGAGATAGTTTGTCAAATTTATGTATTATCGTTACTACCACCATTTTTTTTTTAAGTCTAGTCAGTTTCTTTGTTCTATTTTTGAGTGTTGTGAAATGGAATTTAGCAATGATGAGTTCGCCGATATTATTTTTGTGATCGGGCTCTGTAATGGGAATGCTTCAGAGGCTTCTCGGGAGTATTAACGTAGATTTCCTAACAGACGCCAACCTATCTCAAAGGTTTTTCCGGGTTCATATCTAAGAATTGCCAAACTTCCCAGAGCTAGAAGCCATGGTGTCGGGCATACTGTTCAAGATGAACTGGAAGTGATTAATTTGGCGTTGGATGATCCTAGTACGGATTGCAGCCCAGTTACCATGTTCCCAAAGTCTTGCGTGGAGAATTTTAAATTGGGAAGTTTTACATTCTTGCCATCAGCAAAATCTGCAATGTCTGCATCCCATCAACGAAGTAAAATGGCGAAATTTTGATGAGTGGTTACTGCAAATGCATAATCAAAATGCAGATATTATCGATTTGGTTTTGTTGTCAGATGAATTGCTTTACGAGGAGTATGAAAGTGTACATTGGCCTTGCTAGTTCTTCTGATTTGAACCCCTGGATTTTTTTTTGCGGGACTCTTAACACGTTAACGGCCACGTCGGTCCCAGGGGCCCGCCAGCTTCCCTTACCATCAGGCCACGGCGGTCCCTCGGGACCACCTGTCGGTGACTGCTATTTCGTGCTGTTCAGGCCACCGGACCGCTCATTTAATACATTTAGCGGCTCATATGGGACCGCTTGGCCCCAGTTGATGATGCATACATAATAATTTTTTTATATATTTTTGTTTAATCAAGTTTCACATGTATTTTTTATTATATCATTTTTTGATAAATAAAAGTACTAAAGTGAAGCGTAATACTTTATTTTTCACACTTTTCAGAACAATAAATGCGTATAAAATATTTTAGAGACAGTAAACATAGAAAAACATAATTATTGCTTATGAAATATGTTAAAACATTCTAAGCAAAAATGAGGTTGATCAACACAGTCACTGCAATAAGTGCTAACTTTTTTTACATTGTTTTTGGCTATTTCACCTTTGGTTTTTTTATTATAACAGCCGACACAATATTTTCGAACTTTGTGTACAGCTCCCTCTTTTTTCCTAAAACAATGTTCTGAATTCCGTTTCCTCTTATTAGTCGAACAATTAGATGCTGAAATCTGTTGATCGTCACTCATATTACCTTGGACTTGTGACATCATGTCCATCACAACGCTTTCGCGGAAATCTGTTATAGACATCGACGAATCAGTAATTTTTTTATAAAAGTAATGCGCATTGACCATACAGGTACCAAAAATTACCTCTATAGCTAGCTTTCTGTACCACTTGATGGTCTTACGTAATGCGGAATTGTAAGATGCCATTTGATCGGAAAGATCTATGGAACTTTTTCCTTTATTATAATCAATAATAGCCAAAGGCTTAGATTTTGTTTCATTTCGGATTTGAATATCTTGCATGACATCTGTATGTTTAGTAGACAGTAGTAATACGTCTCTTTTATCCCGCCATTTCATTACGCATATGCCACGCTCATTTTCCCTTGCAACAATTTCGCCACGCTGAAGTTTTTTCTGCGTAACTTCCTTCGGGTTACCGCGTCTGTTGGATCGCAAGGTACCAATAAGATGTGTCTGTCTATCGAGTAATTTATTAGCTAGATCTAAGCTAGTGTAATAGTTATCAGTAACGATAGTTCTTCCACTATCTAGCAGATTTTCAGCAAGAGATAAAACAATATTCGTTGGAACGCTAGCACCAGCATCCTTTTCTTTCCCACAATATACCTTCATGTTATAAGTATAGCCTTCTGAAGAACAGAGCTTGAATACTTTGATGCCATATTTATGCGTTTTAAGAGGGATGTATTGTTTGAAAACAAGGCGACCTCGAAAGGGGACTAGTGACTCATCTACACAGACTGTACTACCAGGAGTATATGAGGTTTGAAATTTTTTGACAAGTTTATCAATAAGGGGCTGTACTTTGTAGAGACGATCACCTTCAGGGCATATTTGGTTATCAGAAAAATGCCATAGTTGTAGAAGCAATTCGAAACGATTTCTGCTCATAACACTTGATATAAATTCATTGCGAAACAGGGGTTTTCTGCTCCAATAGTGGCGAACTGTTGGCATTCGTACAAGACCCATATATCCGACTAGGCCTAAAAATCTTTGCATTTCTTGTCTGTCAGTAGGAGACCATTTATGAAGTCTTGATGAGTGTGGAACATCGTTAGCTGAGCAGATTACTTGCGTTGCATAAAGGTTAGTCTGTTCTACCATCAGGTCTAAAATTTCGTTATCCAGAAAAAGCGAAAAGAAATCGTACGGAGTACCTCCTTGCAAGGCAGCTGCTATTTCTGGACAAATTCCTTGGTCTTGAACAAAATTCTTTGGAAAAACCAAGTGATGGCCTTGTGGTATAGTCCATCCTGCCACTTGCACCACATTACTCTGATTTTCTTCCGAATCTGAACTACTTGATTGTTCTACGAGATTTGAACCAATATTTGAAACTTCCGGTGGACTCTGAGCGTTAGGAAGTGTTTTCTAAAAAAAAAAATACAATTAGAACACAGATGTTTGGAAAATATTTTAGACTTACCTTCTTATCAGTGTTGCTGGTTGTGGGAACGTTGTCCAACTCGCTCGACACAGAATCTTCACTAGGGGAATAGTTTGGATCTACAACTGAGTCCGATGAGCCATAAATGCTTGGTTCATCTTCGCTGGATTCTGAAATTTAGCAGAACTTAACCTCTTAACAAAATTGTTTATTGTACAGGGTTATACAACAAAAGTGAAAAAAGCCAGTTTCACTTCCGAAAGATATCCCTGTAGGTAATTTCTTACCATCATTTTCATCACACTTCTGAAGTTTTGACAACAATATCAACTGTTTAGTCCGATTGCGAACATTTACGTGATCCATTATCATGAATAAATGCGCTGACGCCTAGCTGCACCGACCCGCTACAGTAACTGAAACTAGTGATGGGATCATTCGAATGAAAAATAATCGGTCATTCGATTATCAAAATCATTCGAGATATCTCGAATACTTCAACCAAATGATTCGAATGATAATTCACTCTTCAATCAAATGTGTGACCGCTCGAAACAAAATAAAACCGATGCTGCCGCTGCGCGTCTCGCACCAGATGTCTCGAGCGATCATTCGTGAATCATCTTTCGCATGCAGCAACGCGTGAGCAGTGAGCCCAGCCGTATCTATGAAATAATTGGCGGTCTGGCCCGAAAAGTGGTAGGCAGGGCCGGCGTTAGGAACATAGGTGTAACATAGAGTACATAGACTGTTAAGAATCAAAATATATAAATAAATGTGTAGTGTGAAAACAAAAAACTATTACTATGCATTATTGTCTAACATACGTGAGTTCTATGTTAAATGATTTCCGAGCGCACGAAAAAAAGTGGGAGGGGGGGCGGCAGAATTGGGCTTGCCCGTGACGTCAAAAGTCTTAGCGCCGGCCCTGGTGGTAGGTATATTTCGACAATTTCGACTGAAATAGGAAGAGCTACCAAAAAAATGCGCTTGAGAATTTATGTTGTCGCATCGTAATTTTATTATTATGTGTGGTAATATAATCGAATCACAAATCTAAATTTTCAAGCGCATTCTTTTGATAGCTCTTTCTATTTCGATCGAACTATTTTTTTATTAGTTGGGAATAACAATATAGGGTGCCTTAGCAGATTTCTCTCAATAGTTTTTTTAACGTATATTATGTGCCAAGTGGCGAAAGTTTATTTCAATTTTATGCATATTAGTTTATCTGATTATTAATTATATTTATAACAGCAGTAATTTATATTGATTTGATAATTTCATATTCTATCTTGGTGTTAAAACTTAAAACCTCAAACTCAATACATGATTGGAATTGAGCATTCATTACCTATAACTTTATTCCTTGCAACAAAATATGTAATAATAATAATAATAAATCTGCTTGGAAATATGTAACATAATAACAGAAAAATAAAACTAATGTTAACAAAAAGTTTATTTAACTTTGGTTTAAAACTGGAAAAATAAACATTTATTCCTAAAACAAACTTATTGTTCTGAACAGTAAAATAAAACTTAATTACATTTCTTAAACTTTGATTTAAAACTGCAAACATAATATATTATTATATAGGTTAATTTCTAAAACAAAATATTAGAATAATAATAAAATAAAATAATAAAATTAAACTTCATGACATAACAAAATATTTGTACCATACAAACATAAACTCTGAATTAATAATACTAGTCTAAATTAGAACTATTTAAAAAAATTATTTGGTCTAAGTTTTTTGGAGATAGGCGATTTCGTCTTAAGTTGGTTAGTTGTCCACATTTCGAAAATATCCTCTCCGAGGGTACAGATGTACCAGGAACTGTTAAATATTTAAGTGCAAGCTCATAGAGCTCAGGCATACTTTGTTTGTGTGCTTTCCAAAATTCTAATGGATTTTCTTTTCGATTTACAAAAGGCAGTTCCAAGTATTGACGAATTATTAAGGTAGCAACAGTAGTAGGGGTAACTGTCGACTTCACTGTAGATAACCTTGTGTCAAAATTTAACCAAACTCCGAAATCATTGTCTTTGGATGGATTTTGATTACTTAAGTCATCTTCCTGTCTATTTTCCTCCAAGTCATTTATATTTAGTTCATTTTTCTTTCTTATCAGTTGGACCAGTTCTTCAAACACCCATTTCTGAGCATTAGAAGAATTCGTTTCGTTCCCGAATCCCAACTTTTTGAACCTTGGGTCCAAAAATGAACACTTCGCGACAGTCTTATTTACTTCAAGAATTCCAAGACGACGTGAAATAATATCTACTAAATCATTTTTTAAAAGAGTGCAGACCTCATTTTCAGTACTGAAACGTACTAGCGCATGCTGCAATCCTCTTATGAGTGGTATTATTGAAGACATTGTAGGGTACTTTTCGCCAGATAGGATTGTGGTGATAACCTCCACTGGCTTCAAAATAGGAATTAAATCTTTTATTATAGTCCATTCTTGAGCATCTAAAAATTCTGGAGCACTGGAAATACTGGTAATAGTAATACTCAAGGAATCTTTTATCACCAATAATCTTTCCAGCATTACTAGACAAGAATTCCATCTTGTAGGAACATCTTGCTTCACTTTAAGAACAGGAAGCCCCATCTGCTCTTGCACCGCTTTCAATTTATTAGAAGCATTGTTGCTGTGTTTAAAATGTCCAACAATACTCCTACATTTTTTTAGTATCGCGCTTAATAAGGGCTTTCCATTAAGTGCCTCATTTACACTCAAATTAAGAGTGTGGGCCACACATGGATGGTGATGTTTGTTCAGTATTTGCACTGCAGTTTTTATGTTTGCAGCATTATCTGAAACAATTGTAGACACCTTTTCAAATATGTCCCATTCTTGCAAAACTTCTTTTACGGATAATGCTAGATTTTCTCCTGTATGAGAATGTAGCATTTCCCTTGTAGCTAAAGCATTGGAATGCATTTTGTCACTATATATAAAATGGCAAGTAATAGTGATATATGATTTATTACTATCTGAACTCCAACAGTCCGTAGTGATTGCAATATTATTTGTTTCGCGCAACATATTTTTTAATTTTAATTTTTCTCTTTCGTATAATTGTGGGATAAGCATGCTTGAAAGCTTTTTCCTACTCGGCAAATTATATAATGGTTGAAGCCTTTTAGAATATTCAATAAAGCCTTCGTCTTCGACAATAGATAAAGGCTGATAGTCTTTTACTATCATTTTTACAAGGGCATTATCTATTTCAATTATGTCCACGTCAGTCAATTCATTGGTTTTAGCGCCAAATAATTTTAATTGCTTTCTTCGCTTTAGGGGTGGAGGATGGAATGTTGAGTCATTCGATGAACCCGTTCGATTTTCTCCTATTATTTCATCGGTTTTACTTGATGGACCAGCTTCATCTTCTTTGTGCTTGAATGAATTCACTTTTTGGTCATTATTGTCTAAATCCTTGTCGTTATTGGGTGGTTCATTTGCTAATAATTGAGTTGCATGCAATCGCTTCAAATGTTGATTCAAATTTGTAGTATTCCCAAAAAATTTTAGTTCTTTTTTGCAAATATTGCATTGCACAAAATTTGTGTTGGAAGATTTTTTAAAATATTCCCAAACGACGGATTTTTTAGCACCAGGTCTCATAATTCTATCAGGCATGGGCAAATTATAATAAATCGGTATTTAACGAATTTGATTTACGCTGTGGCTAGAGTCCCGGTACCGGTAACAAAATTATTCCCGGTAGAATTGTTGCAATTAAAACATAATAATAAAAAGTACAATTATTTTTTCACAGAAAAACTTACACTTAGATTTATTTTAAGGCACTGGATATTCGTCCGTACATGTGCGGTCGATGTGACGTTTTGTTTAAACGGCCGCACATTCGATATTCTTGCCTAAGTTCGATCAGGTGAATGGTTTATTGAAATGTTAGTACATATTGAAATATTATTAAAACCTCTAAAGAAAGCGCTAACCTAACCGGACGATTAATTTATTTTAAGCAGTGCAAATTAAAACATGTACGGCCGTTTAAACAAAACGTCACGTCGACCGCACATGTACGGACGAATATACACTACCTTATTTTAATTTACCCAAGCCTGATAAAGTTAGTATTAAACAAAACAGACAAGACGAACGTAAATCACCCGCAAAAGAAAAACACCACTGAGCGAAACACCACCCGTCACGTCACGAAGTTCGAAAACAACTAAAACAAAATCATTCATCAGTGTTGCCACAGCGTTGTGGCCAAATTACTTGCAAGTACCAGACAGTTTTACTTGCAATTCCTTGCAAATACCTGACAGTTTACTTGCAATTACTGGCAAAGTTCAATGTTTTTATTCGTTTAGTTATGACAGGTATTCGAATCTCCTTCAGGTCTAATTCTACCGATTCTACCGCTGAATGAATTTTTGGTGAACCTGTGCTATGACTTCTCATACCTCCAAACACAACCTCCAATTCCGAGTGACGAGTGTTCCGCAAAAATAGATGTATATCTACCGACTGATTGATTCACGATGAGTATTCATATTTCAGTCAGTACGGCCATTTTTACTCCTCAGTGCTCTGCTAAGACTCAAGACTGCTGCGGCTTGAGAGTCACAGCGGCTTTATGGTCCCGAGAAAAATGACAGATAACAGAAGCACCTACTTAGTGATCATGCGTTCTATCCCGATTTGTTTTTTCACTTCAGCTGGCTCGGCTCCATGTTCTAGGTTGAATCCCGCACGCCGTATCATAGAATGTTATGCTAATATGGCAACTGTTACGAATGTTTTAATCCATAAAATATGAACATCGCATCAATTACTTGCAAATTCCTCCAGAGCACCCATTCCTTGCAAGTTTACTTGCAAAGCTCCTCATTCCTTGCAAATGCAAGTAATTACTGGCAAAGCGGCAACACTGCAATCGTTGTTCAAATCGCTCGCGGCGTCGCGGCAGCGAGAAACGAGAATCAGAAATCAGAACTGCTGACTGAACGATGTTTACAACATGTGAATGATCATTCGAGTGATATATCGATTCTTAAAATCATTCGAATACTAACTATCCGATTATTAGAATCATTCGATTCTGCCCATAGCTAACTGAAACGCAACGAAATGACCACGTGCTTCGTTTTAGCGCTCATCGATGAAAGGCGGACATTACCGAAGGACCGCCGGGCGGGACCGACCGTGCTTTTGCAATATAGTTTTCTTGGTGGGCCACGGCGGTCCCTGGGGACCGATCCTTATTTTGCATTTTTTTCCAAAACTTCGAATATTTTCACAAAATACTCCAGACATTTGAGCAATACTACCTAAAAGCATCTCAAAACAATGAAAATTATAAATTGGCCCGG